CATATCGCATATACGGGCCGGCCTTGGTGCCTTAGACCCGTTCATACTGAAGGAAACTCACCTCGCACTGCTGAAGTCCCGCGAATAAATCACGGGCTGCTGGCTGACAGATCACCAAGCTGTCAACATCAAAATAAACCCGATTAATAATGGGATCCCAACACAAATCCATAAGTCCTTGTTTTGGGTAAAAGACTACTTTACCCCTAACTTAGCTTGATTCAAGCCCAAGGCCCAATAGTCTAATAATCAACCAAAGCCCAACTATGGCCCAATCTTCCAAATTGGGCCCAAACTACTCACATGGTCTTACCTTAAGGCCCAACCATTTATTCTTGGTTCAATACTTGGCATTCTGATGGTCCAATATCTCATAATCATCAAGGCCCAAATATGGCCCTTCTATGGCCCAATTTTCCAAATTGGGCCCAAGCCTGTCCAATGGGCCTTATCCTATAGCCCAGTCCAATACTCTAGTCCTTATACTTGTTCTTGGGTGGTCCATCAATAGCCCAAACATCTAGGCCCAACTCAAAACCCAACACAATTAGGGTTTTCACATGAAATGACGATTAGGGTTAAGTATTCTTACTTAACCCATTAAGGACTTAACCCATTAAGGACTTAATCCATTAAGTCCATCACTCCCTTAAGCCATTCATACAATGTTGTTGGACATAAATAAAAATTACAGTCTAACAGTCCAAACGCGGGTCCCGACAATCCAAAACTAACAGTTTCCAAAATTAGGGTTTTCTAAACCTTAATTAGGGTTTCTAACCCAACACAAGCCAACCAAGTCCAAAATTAAGCTTTTAGGTCCATTAGGGTTCCACTAGGCCGGGCATCACCCACTTCCACCTCGGGCAGTGGTGGTCGGCGGCGGCTCACGGCGGCAACCACCATTCCAATGGTGGTGGTGGTGGTTCCTGCCCAAAAACCGCATGTACACACACACACACACACTGCCACCTCATACGGTGGCTGGTGGCGGCACAGGTGGCAGTAAACGGTGGCAGCCACCACCATGAGGTGGTGGCTGTGGGTTTCTAGGTCTAGCTTACGCATACAACTTGTGGCAGCAATCCAAGTCCATAAACGACACGAGACCAAGACTTCCAACCACCGACTAGGAGGTTGTGGTCGTCGGAAAGGGCAGAAATGGCGGTTCAATGGCCGTCGGTGCCCACAGCCGTCAAACACGACGTCAAAACACGAAAAGAAAGAAGGAAGTGGGAAAAAGAAGGGGCGGATGACCTTACCAGCGACTTCTCGGTAGTTCACGACTCGAGCAGCGACAAACCCGACGCATTCCTCTCTCCTCGGTGGTTCTCCGGTTGCCTGCGACGTCTCCGGCATCAAAGGTTGCGTTTCAATGGCGAAACAGCCGCTCGGCGGTCTTGACTGATCGGAAACGAACGGGAAAAAGGAGGTGGCGGCTGGGAGGGCTCTCCTGGACAGTGGCGGCTGTAATGGGTTATTAGGGTTAGGGTTCATGTCTCCAAAGATACGGGAGGGAGGAGTGACGGGTTAAAGTCCTGATTCCAACAACTTTTGCACCATTAACAAGACTAGTCCCTCCCCACTGGATCTTTTCCAAATTAAGCCCAATATTTACTCTTCATACCCCTGCTCCCATCATTCTTTTCATATTAAGTCCTAATAATTACCAAACATACCCCCACTTCTAAAATCCTTTTCAAATTAAATCTGTAATTTACTAAACAGCCCTCAGTTCTCAAAATCCTTTCATAATAGGTCCAATACTTACCAACCACCCCTTGTCTTCTAAAAAAAATCTTTACAAAATAGTCCCGAAATTATACTTTAACCCCCTAATAATCCAATTTATAACATTTGGCTCCCAAAACCAACATTTCACTGAATATTATGGATTTTAGGTTGCTACTCTTTCAATAAATCTTATCTATTTATTTATTAAATAGACGGGATGTTACACATTTAATGTTCACTTAAATAATAAATCACACTTTATATCCAATTTCAGAAACATGATCTTGTTTTTTTTTTCGTATAACATCCTACTTTCAACTTTTTTTATTGCAACATCTTACTTTCTATTACAACATATTTGACACCTATATTAGTAACACAATTTTCTTTTTAAATTGCAATGTGCTATACATATTAGATTATACTTAAAAAATTGTCTCCAAGCTCCTTTCTTAGTAACTAAATTTTCACAAATGCCCACATCAATTTAAACAAATTCCATAACAAATGAAAAATAAGAATACAAAATGTTATATGAATGGAACAATTTAAAAGTTAGTGCAATATTCTATGAGAAAGCCTACATTCCAACTACAATCATTAAACTGGACCAGTTAAGATCATAAAGTACATATAATAGAAAAAAGCCAAAGTAGCAAACAAAATCTATGAAGCAAGCACTAAACTTTTTATGATAGTTCAAATATAAGGGTAAAAAGGTCCAAAGCCTCAAAACTTCACCACATAGCAGCCTTCTGAGGAGAGATTGGGGAGAATGCATATAATGTAGACAACCAGCACAACAGCAAACATAAAGTACTCATGAAATTTCCATACTAGATTGCACTAAATGCTCTATACATTGTAAAAATTAGTGAATAACTAAGTGTTTACATGAAGGGGGTTCCCAAAAAATTATAGAACTTAACCACGATGACAACCAAACTTTCAACATTCCAGATCATATTGGGGTAAATGAGTTGTAAATGCATTATATTTATCACATAAAATCATCAATTAAAAGACTCAGAGCCCTTTACCAAACTAACAATGTAATTCACAAAAAAAACATCAAAACTTTTCTATTTCAAATTATGCTAACCCATTGACTATTTAAGTACCATATTCATCTTGTAAATTCTATGGCATGTACTCTAGTTTTCGAGAATCTTAGAATTGCAGGATGATGATCAACCATAAAAACAGACCCGCCAAACATTGATAAATATACCAAAAAAAAGACACAAAAATCCAAATTTGAAACTTGCTTGATAACATAAAGATGAAAGAAATGAAAGTAGGTTGTTGTAATACATAATTAAATGAAAGTGTCTTGCTTTTTCTTGCATTTAGGCATGGTAGATACCATGATGAAAAATTTGTAGAATCAAGAGGGTCAACAACAAGGTAGATACTGTAACGCCCGTGTTTCGGGGCTAAGCATTAGTGCAGTGAATTATGTGAATTATGTGCTTATATATTTTTTTTATAAAGAAATAATAAAAATAAGCGTCAAAATTGAAGTTTTGAATAAACCCGATATCGACACGTGAAGTGGTAGTGGTCGTGACAAGGATTCCGGACATATAAAGAACGCCGAAATCCGAGTTATAACGAAGGAGTTATGACATGTCGATGCTTCGCGACAGAACCGGCACGACACTGCACAACGTAAATAGTGAATTTACGATAGTGCGATCTTTAGCCTTAGCAATCTAAACGAAAGTCATAGAATACGTTAAACCGAGAGCGTGCATGAAAAGAACGCCCAAATCTGACTTCATATGAGAAAGTTATGATTTTTCGAAGTTTCGGTTTAGCGGTATACAGCCCGGAACTCGAATATTAGATCGAGCGGTTTTTAGCTGACACAACCTAAAAGAGAATCGAAGATCTCGTTAATAGTAGCGTAACAATAAAAAGACAGACGAAAACGGATGTCGGATGAAGAAGTTATGGATTTTTAACGGACCAATCCTGTCCCGGCCTGTTAAAAAATATAACTTTAAAAATAAATTCAAAATTAGCCAACAGAGTCTAAACGAAAGTTGTAGAGAACGGTCCCACCTACACGTGGATATAAAGAACGCCGAAAGGGGAGCTCGTACGTGAAACTTACGAATTTTTAAAGTCGAGACTCGGATTTGTGAAGCTGATTGCGAAGTTGCTGACGTGGCCGAATCTCAGTCGTTCCTTGTTGCCCACGCATCGCTTCAGATGAGTGACAGTTGGCCTCGCTACGCCCTATGTTCAAGAGGAGCGCCCAGCGTCCGAGAACGCCCCGCGTCCGATCTCGGTTACACCCACCGAACAAGCTTTCATCGGTCCACATTGAGCCACGTCGCCCCAGCCCTTATCCGACGCGTGTTGTACGAAGCAAGCCCTACGCGCAGCGTACTCCGGAGAGTAGGCCCAGCGTACTCTGCAGCTGGCGCCTATAAAAGGAGGCGGAGGGCTGCCATTCTTCTCACACCAAATCCTTCTCTTTCTCTCACTACTTTCTCTATCTAGCTTCCCTTAAGCCCCCTAAAGCCTAGGTAAACCCCCTAGCACCTGAAGGAAGCCCCGAGGCTCCCGAAGCCTCGAGAAAAAGAGCCTTTCGGCTCGGAAACGCTGCTCCAGCGAAGCCCGATTTTTGATAAAAACCCGCTGTAAGTGAGCTACGCCTACACCATTTTAAATATAGCTTTTATTTAAATATAATATCGTTGTTATGAACCTATAAATAAGATTTATCAGTGATTCAAAGTCGTTATACTGATTGATCTACTTACGGGAATGATGTCTAGGCTGTGATTTAGTGAGGTCACTACAAGAAACGGGACCTATAGGGACGACACATGTCGTCTCTATAGGTTTAAAAGGTCGTCCCTATAGGTGTCCAGGACGACATGTCGTCCCTATAGCTCTCGTCTCCATAGCCCCGTCGCAATAGATCTTTTTGGTCGTCACTATAAATATCTTCGCAATAGGTATCCTTTAGAGATGACATGTCGTCTTGTTCTGGTTCGTCGCTATACGGTGCTGGTCTCCATAGATGAAGCTATAGAGAGGACATGTCGTCTCTATAGGTGTATCTATAAAGACAACATGTCGTCTCCATAGATAAAGATATAGAGTCGACTCATCTCACCCTTTAGCAACAGGATGTCGTCGTGGTAGATGCATATGTAGAGACCACATGTCGTCTCTATAGATCTACCTATAGAAACGACATGTCGTCTCTATAGATATGCCCATACAGCTGCATTTTTTTCTCTAAAATTTCCCAATTTTCACTTTACAAAATTGCTAAAGCAATAAATTTACAAAATAACTAAAACGGTAAATTTAATTGCAAAACATTTAAATTCGATACAATCTCAAAACACTACATTATTGCAAATATAACTCAAGTATTGTTAATTGAAAAGAAGCATCTACATCTGTTTGTCTTTGTCTTCTTTGCTGCCAACATGGAAGGGCAACTTGGTCATTATTAACTACTCTAGTAACAATAGGCATATGTATCCTCCCACCAAATTCGTGGACAGCTGCGATTTTGCGTTAGTTATGGAAGAAATCAGTTACACATGATTCTAGTATGTAATAATAATATTAAAGAGCAATTGTCAAAACTTTACCTGGCTTCCTCTACCCTCTCACAGATCACATATACTTCAAACCTATTTAATACTGCAACAAAACCAACTTTAATTGTAAATAATTTCAATTTATAGAATGATGAATTGAATCAATCGAAAATTTAACATGGATAGAAGACGGAAAAAAAGAGACATAAAGAAGGAACTAGGAAGAAGGAACCTTGATCTTGATCCATGGCATCTATTTCATCTTCATCATTCGAAGATGTCCATCTCATTCAGTGCTGAACAGATTGCTTAAGCACCGAATTAAGAAAACAATTGAGTCGTTTTAGAAATGAAGCGTTGAATTGTTTTAGTTTTTCCTCATCGAGCCAAATATACATATGTGCAATTATAAAGCGTGTGATATAATATCTTCCATGCCTCTTGTATTGATGGAACTAATTTTCCATTTCTTCTCCTTGAATATGAATCAAGCCATGTCTGTATGAACATTGAACAACAGGCCAAATTTTATTTTCTTTTACCATAATAGCAATCTACTTATTTATTTTTTATTGCTATTATTTGTAAAAAAAATGCAAGTACATTGCTATTATGGGTAAAAGAAGTTAATGTTACCTTTTCATTGATTTTTTTATGTTGAAATGCCATTTTAGACATAAGATCATAAACTATAGGATTGCTCGATACCTTCCATTGACATTCCAACACCAACCTAAAAGTGAAACACGACATTATAAAAACAAAGATTAGGAATCAAATAAATTATGATTTTGAATATTAATTTTACCATTGTTGAGTTATAGCTAATACGAGCATCAACAGGTCCAGATCCTAGAAAATCTAGAACACCATACATCTCAACATTTCCTACAATATTATGCAGCATGCACCAGATATAAGGGACACCATAGAACTTATCTGAAGTAGTCCAGATAGGTTTGACTTCAGCAAAAAGGTGAAGGAAAATCATTTTCCCAATGGGAATTACTAAAGGGGCGTTTTTTTTCTAGAGAGAATAACTGTATGGATGAGATGAGAACAAATGACCATTTTACCCTTAATGGATTAAGCTGATTAAGTAAAAAAGAAAAAACCCCAAAAGTATAAAGATTAAAGTATCAACTATAAGCTTACCTTGCTCTAAAACTCATCAAGATCTTCTACTGCTGTTTTCTTGATTTCTCCACTTCGAATATTTTGGACCTCTTTAGCCATCTCTTTAACAATATCTTGAAGAAACTTTGCATAATCTATTATTTCATTTAACCTCCTTTTCAATGTTTCCTACAAACAAAATCAAATCAAGATATGAAGTTATGAAGTTGATAGATTGATGTTTAGAAGATGATATGAAGTTATGAACCAAAACCCGTTCTTTCATTTTGTCTTGAAAGGTAGAAGGTAACATATTAGGGAAAAGTTTCAAGAAATAAGAAGTAAGAACTCCATGAAGGGGACAATAATGAAAACAACAACAGGAACAAGACGAAAGATATCTGCTGTTGTTCGTGTTAGTTGTTGTCTCTCTCTTCTGGAAAGACTCTTTCCACCTGCAAGCTTAAGAAGCAATCTTGAACTAATCTTCATAATTTATCTCAGAATTAAGAAATCTTAAGGATTTCGACAAGAATATCATTGCACATTAGTACACAAATGTCTACAAGCAGAAAAATGCTTTGATTTACTTGTGAGCTTTCATGGATAAGTGTTGGGGATAGAACTTCCATGAAAGAGCTTGTGAATCAAAAGTAAAGAGCGAATTCATCGCCATAATTACTGTTGTACTAAGGAAAATAATTAGCACAAACACTTTCCAAATTGCTTATTTCAATTGTGATTTTCTATTGTATCTGAAAGAACTTATTCTGAATTTGCTATGAAAGACAAAAGCACGATCAGGCACTTTAATTTCAATCAAATGGTAAACTCCTATTAAGATGTAGTTATTAAGTTATCTGCACTTAGTAGATCTTAGTTTGAATTCTCAGAGTGTGTAAATTTGGTATAATCCTTAGTTCGTACTTCTAACATGTCCAACAAAGAAAAATTCAAGGATTCTGATGATCATATGATTCGAGACTACATTAAAACATAACAAATTCAAAAACACATAACGAATAATGATAAATGAATGGAGAATACCTGTACTCCCAAGTCTGAATGCCTGATTTGTAGAGGAGGAAATAAAGAGGCTCCCAATAATTGAACACTAACCTAGGTTGCCGGAGTGGGGCTTGTGTTCGTTAGAATTTGTAACTGGAGGTGAAAATGAAGCTGGTACTTAGAATCGTCGGCGTTGAAGCTAATCACTGGTGGTCTTCGGCAACTAGCATGAGGATCGAGAGAGAGGAAGAAGATTTGCCGGAAGTGGGAGGTGAGGAAGTTGGCAGGGGAGAATTGTCGATTGATCGACCGAGAGAGAGAGAAAGAGAGATTGATGATTGAGCGTGCGTGAATGAAACCAAGGGGGCTGCTCTCCTAATTTTGAGCATAGAAAGCTATGGGGACGACAAGTCGTCCCTACAGTTATCCCCACAACGACGTCACAGCATTAATTTCATGAATCGATTAAAAAAATATGTTATTTTTAATTTTTGGTTATTTGTTACAGCGATAAGTCGTCCCAATAGGTGTTTCAAGAACGAGCCAGCTCAACTTCCTTTCCCGCTTAACATGCTGAGACGAGAAGTCGTCGGTGTAGCTTCAAAAGTAAAAAAAAAATCGTCAAATCTATAGCGACGACATGTTGTCCCTATAGGTATCCAATAGCAACGAAAAATGTCGTCCCTATAGATCTCGTCCCTATAGATGCTTATTCTTGTAGTGGGTGTTTAAAGTGGGATTTCCAAACAGTATACTTCGTATACCAAACGGACCCTACCTCCAATATGATCCTACCTGGTTGTTCCTTACTTGATAGATCATGAAGTAAACTCTGAGTTAACGATGAGTCTAGACTAATAATTAGTCGCAATGAATATTAGACTAAAATCTAGTGGTAATGATACTAGGTTTCGTCGAAAGAAAATAAATTAATAGAAACGAAGCGCTGTCTGAATTCAGAATCACCACCTTAACAAGTGAGTGCATAGTTACTTTCATCTTACACATAAATATGAAGTATTTTATATAAATTTCGTGCTATGTGTGCATATTGACTGAATACTTGTTGTCTATTTTGGATGAAAGATTTTATACATGTTTTAAATGATTTAAACTGTATATGTATTTTATATCTACAAAATGTGTTGGGTAGAACATGGGTAGATGTAATAGTTGGGTGTGATGAAATAAAATGATGACAGGCCTCGATGTTGATGATGTTTCCAATCATCTAGCGGAGTATAGATGACGACCACAGACTTTTCTAGACAGTCCAGTGGAACGCTAGCAGGCTCGCAACCTGTAGGTGTTTGTGAACGATGTGTTCACCGGTGTACTCCATCCCCCTCATGTTTGCCTTTAGGACATTTATTGCTGAGGAACCCTTGGCAGTTGTATCCATCCCGATGATGATCCTTAGGCTAGGTCCCTTATGATAGGTGTTTAGGGATGTAAAGTGAGGATAACGGGAACGGGTAATCGGGTTATTGTTGGTTGATGAAATTAAATAACTTATTTATTGTGGGTTGAAAACCGTATGTGCTCACCAGGCTCCCAAGCCTGACCCACTCAGTTTCTTGTATTACAGGTAGTGGCACTCGAGCATATATGTGATGTTTGGATGAGGGATTACGGATTATAGGCCTGTAGATATGAATAAATGTTGTAAGGCTTATGTTGTATTGTTTATGCTTTTGATCTGTATCGAACATGACATCCCGTGGTTTTTAATGAAATATATTTCTTCGGAAATGCTTTGATAAATCTTTATCATATTTTATTTTGGGAACAAATTCCGCAACACTTTTCTTAAAAATGTTGCTCTGATTTTCAAACAAAGCATAAAAAAAAATCGGTCTTTTCTGGTCGGGAAAATGGGGATGTCATAGTTGGTATCAGAGCATTAGTTTAAGCGAACTAGGAATTTGTAGGATTTCTAGACTTAAACTTAGAATGCTAAGCGATGATTGTGAGAGGATTGTCTAGTATATTTTAGACACAAGCACTAGTTTATTTTAGGAAAGATGCCTAAAATGCTTTTATGTGCTATACGCTATTATTTGTTCGGATCTATGGTCTGTTGCCGACCGGATCTGGAAACCTTATGTGTTCAGGATTCTAAACGTACGACTACGATATTAGAACTAACATGTAAACGTTTCAGAGCGATAAGGATGATTTAAACGTCTATCCTAAATAAAGATCTAAATTCACCTTATTCGGTGTATAGATCAAAATGGCAAGAACCTGCAGTGGAGCTGGGAATGAAAATGGGAATAGGAATCAACCCCCAGTGATTCAGCAAATACCTGTTGTAGGAGAAGTTGCACCCGAGCCAATCACCATAGCTGGAGTACAAGCCATGATTCGGGATATGTTAGCAGAACAAAGGGAGGAAATGAGGCAGATGTTGCACGAAAATAGGGACGAACCTGCCATGCCCATTGAGCAACCCGAGCTGATTCTCGAGCAATCGGAGGAAGGGACTATAGCCGCCATGTGAGTCAAGTTGGGACTCAAGGAGAACGAAGGAATGACCCGGAGAGGGGAAACGACAAGGATGGGCGGATGTATAAGAATTTCTTGGGTGCCAAGCCACCAAGTCTTTCAGGAAGCCCAAAGCCTATTGAGATTATGGACTGGATCTCCGAAATGGAGATGATGTTCGAGAGCTGCAGCTGTAGCGAGAAACAGAAGAATGTCTTTGCAGTTAGGCAACTGAAGACCAGAGTCTTGAGCTGGTGGAAGTTATTGGCAGATACGATGCCACGAGGAGAAGCCCTGAAGATGTCATGGGAAGAGTTCTTAGAACAACTGAAGATGCAGTACTGTTCAAAGATAGATCTGATTGATTTGAACAATGAGTTCCAAAACTTGAAGAATGGGAGGATGAGCATTGACGACTATGCTACTGCATTCACTGAGAAGATGAAGTTATTTCCATATTTAGTGCCAACCGAACTCTCCAAAATTGAGAGGTTCGCAAATGGACTGCCATCCGACTTTGGCCCGACGGTCAAGATGGCAACCACTCTGAAATCAGCGGTTTGAGCAGCTAAGAATGTGGAGACCCAACAGAAGGAAAGGGGTCTGGAGAGGGCCGAGGTTGGTGAGAAAAGGAAATTTGATGGATCCTCGAGGTCCAACAAGAAGAGTAAATTCTCGAAGTCTTGTTCGAGATGAGGAGGATCCGAAGCAAAATGGTGCGACAAATGCAAGAAGAAGCACCAAGGAAAATGTGATAGAGGGGTCACCTGTTTCAAGAGTGGAAAGCCTGGGCACTATGCCAACGAGTGCACGTTCACTAAGAAGGTTTGTTATGAGTGTAACGAGGAAGAAGGAGGCAGGAAGACCCAACATTCCACCGAAGTCGAAGGCAAGAGCCTTCCAGATGACGCTCGAGGTTGCAAAGGAGGCAGCATATGTCGCTTTAGGTACCTTTCTTGTAAATGGTTTGCCTGCCAATATACTGTTTGATTCCGGAGCAAACTACTCCTTTGTGTCACATAAGTTTGGTGGGAAACTAGCATTGCTCGTAGAAAAACTTGATAATGCCCTGATTGTAGAAGTTGTCAGTGGCAAGTTCGTACCTGTTAGTGATCGTATTAAGAACATAGTCATCGACTTAAACGGAAACGAATTCCACGAAGAGCTGTTACCCATAGAATTAAACGGTTTCGACATCGTTCTAGGAATGGATTGGCTCAGTGCCAATGATGCCGAGATACTATGCCGAAAGAAGATAGTAAGAGTAAACCCACCCGGAAAAGAGTCATTCATGGTGTACGGGGACAAACGCAGAGTAAATTCTGGAATCATCTCCCTGATGAAAGCCAGAAAATGTTTGTCCAAAGGATGCACATCATATTTGGCATTCGTAATTGATGCAAAGAAGGAGAAAAAGGAGGTGCAGAGTATACCAGTGGTGTTTGATTATCCGGAAGTCTTTCCCGAGGATCTTCTCGGATTACCGTCTGATAGACAAGTGGATTTCCGAATAGACTTGTTACCAGGAACGAAACCAATAGCAAAAGCACCGTACCGATTAGCACCGACTGAGATGAAGGAGCTTATGACGCAACTTCAGGAGTTGTTGGACAACGGTTTCATTCGACCTAGTTCATCACCCTGGGGAGCTCTGGTTCTATTCGTGAAGAAGAAAGTGTTGGGTTTTGAGCATTCTAACACTCCTATGGTGTACATGCAACCCTATAAACCTTGGATCTATGTTTTCTTTATTATACATGCAAATATTAACTATTCCAAGGTTTCATCCTAACTAGCATATTATGAAGCACCTATACTACAAAGTTCTAGTTAGATGACATACCTTTTGATGTAGCTTGATGTCTTCAAGCTTTAAGAGCTTAGGCCCAATAGTGTAGAAGCCTCAAATGGAATCACAAATCACCAAAACACCTTGGAAGAACTTGAGAGAATATGTATGCACACTAAAATCGGCCCACTCTTATTTTCACACACTTGTGCCAATTTTGTGAGCCAAGGACCCCTTTATATATTATGGAGGATTAGGGTTACATTCATGTAAACCCTAATACCCATGACCTTTCATTTACATAGGATCCATGGGTTAAAAGCTCCACGGACCATCCATGAAAGCTTAGCCCAACCTAAATGAACTTGGCCCATTCCATATATATAAGAGTCCATATTTAATTAGTTCTTTTTGATCACTTAATTAATTCTAAATTAATTTTTGATCAATACTAATTAAATAATATGATTCCATATTAATATATTCGAACTTATAATATATTAATATAAATCATAAATATACTATTCTCAAAAGAGTATCCATATAAATTGTGCCGGTGAAGTGCAACCCAAATGGACTATGCCGGGTCGGGTCAAGTACATACCAAATATAGTTATGGACTTAGACATTAATCCAACAGTCTCCCACTTGGATAAGTCTAAAACTATTATTGAGTATGACTTCAAAACCTAACTGACAATCGTAGCTCTTAAAGCCGCTGTCGAACTCTGACCTTGTCAATGACTTGTCCATTTGATAAGGGATCATATATTCCTCCATTCTAGATATCATATGGACTGAGACATGGATTATAATCATTCTCTCTGTCCATTTGTTGTTTCCCGATTTTCGATTTATGATGACTGACTGATTGAACAAATCAAATCAGTCCTGGCTTGGCCAAGCACTCACATGTGTCATCGCTAAATCATCGAGGGGCCCACATATATCGCTTTTATCCCGAAGGTAAAAGGAATGGATAAACTTCGACTCATATGGCTTGTTCTACTACTTGTTGAATCATACACAAAGGCACGTTTTATAACATCGAGTTACCAAATGCGTTTTCGTGCAATCAATGTATAACCAACTCATAGTAACAACTCATATCTC